TATATATATATATATATATATATATATATATATATATGCATATTTGAATTAGTGAAGAAAAAATTTTTTATTTATTTGAAGTACACTGTATTTTATGAGCAAGCACTGAGTGATCCTATTTCTAATGAATACAAAGTGGAAATATTCAACTTCGCTAAAAACTAGGCTTACCACCAGCAACACTGTACCATGCTGCTCCATTAGTGATTCCACCCTTGTGAGTGAAATCATCACCACCACAATTTATATGCTGTTTTCCCGACATAGTTTTATGTGCTGAAGCATAAGCATGAGCCAGGTGTCTGAAAATATAAAATATGAGCTAATTTACTCTTACATCATTATATTTTTTACAAGTTCATTAATAAAAAAAGCTAGGTGTATGAGATTTAAAATGTAAATTAATTTAGTTCTTACATCTTTTTTTTTATAAGTTAATTAATAAAAAAGACAGTAAGTTCAGAAAAATTAATGAATTGAAAACACAGGATTTACATGAACAAATAATAATTAACAATATAAACTGATAATTTTAAAAAATAACTAAAAATTGTAAAAACAAACAAACATATAATTCAAAACCTACACAGTAAAGAAAAAAGTGAACCCTCACTCTTTCTCAGGTTTAACACTGAACTTTCTTAAATTATGACACACACACACAAACATACATGTATATATAATGGAAACTTCAAACATGACATCACAGTCTGCCATTTAGGATGTTGAAGTGCAGTGAAAGTATGATTATGCACACAATGAAACATACGCCCTTTTAAATATGTCAAGATTTAACATAAATATTTAGTTCATGGAAAAAATTATTGTTTAGGTTATTCTCCTTTCATATGCAAGTTTTGAAAGACAAATGAAAAAAGCTATTCCTGAAGTGTTACATTAAAACCAAGCTTACTATTCTTACAAGCTTGTATTAAATACAGCTGCATAGCACTCTTTGCATGTGAATATCACATTATAAGAGAACTTTATTAAATGATTGTAAAACAACCAATTTTATTTTTTGAAATGTTCAGATGTTTTTCATCACAATAAAACATCAGATTAAACATCTTATGAAATGAAAATATAAAAATACACTTAGAGACAGGTTACAAGCTAGATCCTCCATAAGCTAACAAACATAAAGTAAATGGTTACACCAATTCATTAACCATAACTTAATGTGCACCTAACTTTGTTTGCAAATGAATTATAAAAAGTGAAAGACAAAGACATTATGTGTAAGTTTGTATACTCAATTTCTATTTTCTAAGACTAATTAATATTATTCATGAAGCATGTTTTTTGAATCCCACATAAAATAGTAGTGGAAGCTTTAGGGACTACATCTACTAGTTAGGAACTTGTCGTGAACCACCCTCTGGAATCTGTAATAAATTCTCTTTCAAGTCCAAAGAAAAATGCCTTTATAAATTCAATACATACTGTAAACTTTCTCAGCTCTTTAATTTTTTTTTTTTTTTACTTTTTATAACCAACTAAACTAATTTTGGCGTGTCTCTACCCCTGAAACAAACGCATTTATTAGGAAACTTTGACCTTCTATTTCAATAAGTCATATGTTTTGAAGAGATCCATATTAAGTATATGTTAAATCTTTAAGGACAGATTTCGGACTTTTAAGTACAGCAGCTATTTGCAAATAAAAAGTGTTTAAACACCAAGTAACATTAGGAACTGTTAACTGCAACTATAATAAACAGAAAATGTTTGGTATGTAGAACCCCCACATTAATGTAAATAGCTCTAACAAATACCACTGATTACTAGTGAATAACACTATAGTGAAAATATACTATTTAACAGGTGTTGAAAATAAATATCCAAATTCAATAGCCAAATCAATCATATAAACATTTTAATATTTGCAAAATCTGCCATTAACATCATGTCTAGCCATTATGCAATTATTCTATCATTAACCCTGCATTAGTCTTTCGGGGTCTGTGAAGACCACAAATATTTTGTGAACATAAGCACTCACAGATGGAAGCACGTACATGTTTGATGTTCTAAGTAGCTTCAGTATTCGGCTGGTTTGTGTTAAATTGTTACACTTAGTTTAGGTGGTAAAAAAGAAACATGTTGTAATAATTAATATTCATTTATTAATTAAAAAAAGGAAAAGTTTTGAGTGTTAGTGTTTTTTGCTTCACAATAATAATTTATTATTATTTAAATATTTGTAAATTAATTTTTTTATGATGGGGTCCACTCAGACCCCTGAACATTTTTACAGAAGACTAATGCAGGATTAAAACAGCTTTGGAATTACTATTAAAGAAATTCATATTCTGTTAAGCCTAGTTGCACCTGCAGTTTCTAAACATTCTGATAGTATTTAATGAATACAAGAGTAAGACTCTAGAAGTTTTCTGTCAATCAAGTTATACAGAAACAAAATATATTGTAGATGCAGTCGAAAATTGATGTATTTCAAAATAAATAATGCTTTGTTGTTTGGATGAGGTGAATTTCATTAAGTTATTCTATTGAACAATATACATTACACATTAATACTCACAATTTATTAGTGTTATTTTATGCTTTTATTTCTGTGAGCACTTTTATAAGTCCCTAAAGAATTTGACAAAAAGTCGAGTATAGAACAATCTGATGTCCAGAGTTGAAGCAACATTTATAAATAACTACTGACTGGAAAGTCATAACGAAATTTATAAGTGACCTGGATACAGCTCTTTGTAGAAGTGAAAAAGAAAACAAAAGAAAGTAAACAAAAAATTTGAGACTGTGACCAAACATTTTTAGAAAAACAAGAATACAAAATATTTAGGTCATAAAAATGAGACTGAGGAATAAAACCAAGTGGAGACAGATAGTAACAATAACAGAAACTATGGACTCTGAAATAAATCAGTTTGTCAGAAGTAAAGTAACCGACAAAAGAATAAGCACTGACATAACCCACTGAATCGGTGTATTTTAACTCACTGAGTCGGTGTATTTTAAGGATATACGTTGTAAATTAAAATTACTATTTAGAAAAGGTGGACACTAACTTAAATGTTTGATCATCAGGTGTAGCAGTATATTCTTGAGTCTTTCCACTTGGACTTTCATCATAAGGATAGTTTGCCACTAAAGCACCACCATGAAGATTAGCTGACAAGACAAATGGATTATTAAGAATCCACATCATGACTGCTCTTGTTTCTGGTTGGAGCTGCAGAAAAAAAAATCATATCAGCGCTTTCTCGTTCAAAAACGTTTTATTACAAAAAAACAGTATGAACACTAATGTTTAACTCCAAAAAACAATATGAACACTAATGTTTAACTCTAATAATAAATAAGTAGGTCTTTGAAAAACGTTTTATTACAAAAAACAATATGAACACTAATGTTTAACTCTAATAATAAATAAATAGGTCTTTGAAAAACGTTTTATTACAAAAAACAATATGAACACTAATGTTTAACTCTAATAATAAATAAATAGGTCTTTGAAAAACGTTTTATTACAAAAAACAATATGAACACTAATGTTTAACTCTAATAATAAATAAATAGGTCTTTGAAAAACGTTTTATTACAAAAAACAATATGAACACTAATGTTTAACTCTAATAGTAAATAAATAGGTCTTTGAAAAACGTTTTATTACAAAAAACAATATGAACACTAATGTTTAACTCTAATAATAAATAAATAAATAGGTCTTTGAAAAACGTTTTATTACAAAAAACAGTGTGAACACTAATGTTTAACTCTAATAATAAATAAATAGGTCTTTGTTAATGGCTAATCAAGCACAAAAACATATTCATAAGCCTTTCCAATGCTTTGTTTACTGTACTATTTATTTATTAACTATTACTATTTATTGACATTTAGTCAATGTCATAATCAAACTAGCAAAAGATATTACAGTGCCAATCCATTTAACTTGGATGCTATATATATATGTTACTGCGATATTCTCTGAGGCAAAATGGAAATCACCTTCTATAGAGAACAAAGGAATGAAGCAACTAGAATAAGGTATTCTTAATGACTTTCTGACCACCATATTGTCACTATCACAACACAAAAACTAATTTAATTTCCTATATCACTAAAGCAGGTAGAAAACATATGGTATGCCTGCATATCACAATATGACTGTTTATTGGATTATCACTGATAATGATTTTTTGAATGATGAAACTGATTCTTTTTTGTTTTTGTTTTTTGCATCCAAGCTAATAAAATTATCATAGAGTTTTTCTGGCATACCATCTAAAGTGGCAATTATCAGAAATCAAATATATTGGAACTAATTTCTAGTAAATTAACTTATCTTCCACTCTATCATAATTTCAACAGTTAAATATATATAACCTGTACATCTATCTTCTTACTTTGTGATCTATCATCTGACTACCTAGAAAGTAGTGGTGGGTCTGATGCAGCGGTAGTTGTTCTTCACTGTAAAGTACTTCATTCAAGTCTGGAAAGTCACGATTTAAATCTACACCATTTGCATTGCTTCTGCCAATCAACCAGTCTTTTCCTCCTTTCTGCAAGAAACAGACTACATTACTATCTGTAGAAATACAATCACTGATTGAGAATTTACACCCTAGCGTTAACTCTTCCAAACATTCAATATCAACAAGTATTTAAAATACTGTTTATGAATTAATGATGTTAGTTTATATGTATTTAAATTTACATAAGAGACAATCAACTTGGCAATCTCAAATGTTAATTCAATCACACAAAATTTATATGCATTAATATATTCCATAGACTTACAGTAAAACTCAAATCCAGTAGTTTCATTTACATTGATCAAAGGCTTAAATTTAAATGCAACATTCAAACAGCATGCTATAAATTGATTTAGAATGAGTAAAACTGCATTTCTTTTTATTTCTAGTCGGAAACATGTAATCCCAACAAGAATCCCATGAAAGACAAAGCCACTGGAAAACAAGAGAATTGAGAGACCACTCCAATGGATAAAATGTGTCAGGACGAACTGCAATCCAAGCGAGAGCACCGGAACATGACATGCAAGAATATGAATATTGTGTGAGGGGGCCCAAAAGAGCAGATCTAATATGCGAAAAGAGAGCAAGTGCAAACAGGCCCCACCCACAGGATAAATGCTCCCAAAAAAAAGTGGCAAGAGAAGAATAGGAACATACCGTAAAATCCTATTAATAATGGAAAGGAAAACAAACAGCAGTGTCACACCCAATACTAACCCAAAAGCAAAGAAGCCATGTGAGAATGAACTAAAGATAGCAAAAACCCCAACATGGAGGGAAGAAAGAGGATGTATCCCTCGACAAACCCGAAATGTAAACAGAACACCGAATAAAGGGAAACATTAAAGATATGAGTGACGATAAGGGAAAAAGAATGACAAATGCGGAAGAAATCTGCCTGAAGTTAAACTAAGGTGAATAGAAAGTCCATAGAAGGTAAGGCTTGTAAGTACCCAAACACAAAAGAGACAAAAAGAACAGCACAGAAAACATGAAGATAATATTTTGCAAAATGTGTAAAGTAGGTCTAGCAGATACTGCAATAGAAGTATGGAAGGTATTCCATGATAATGTCAGGGAGAACTGACAATTTTAGGACATTGGAAAATGGGTTCAGCTGTTAGATGGGGAAGTTGAGCAATAGTGGAAGCAGATACGGCAGACCCTGGCTCCCAGGGACCAACACATTAATTTATCGGTATGAAGGATAAATTATAAATGGAATAAAATTAATGATAAGAAGTATAAAGTAGAGATTAAATGAAA